TCTTCCTGCTATTGACAGCAGGGAATATGACCCTGAGCAAGTAATATTTCTTTCTTTCCACTTCAAAAAGCCATGCTTACCTTGGAGGATTTATGTCTCCTTTATTTTTTTAAACAGAAGTAATAATCTGGACGTCTGATTTCAAGCAACAAAAGTCTCTAAACATACAAATATTCATATCAAAACCACAGCATTTCAGTTTGCAACATTCTGCAGTCTGAAAGAAAAGTCATGTGTGAGCACGTGCACACACTAATTGTTTTATGGATCTTTTTTCTTCCTCAACATTTTACACAACAAGTATGAACCAGAAGGTTTGGAAGTATGTTTGCAGCAAGTTGGAAACATGGCAAAAATGGGATTGTAAATTGGAGTTAGGCTTTTTCTTCACGATGTAATGTACGTAAAGACCACTGCATTGCCTTTAGTAACTGATTACTGTGAGTCCTGATTCAGGCAACTGGAATATTCTATCTACCTTCACTCCCTATCTCTGTGTGCACACACATGCAGCCATGCTGCTCAGTCTGCCTGTTTCCACAGTTTTCCGAACCCCAGCCACTGGCCAGTCCAGGCTTATGTAAACAACTTGGGATTCGAACAAACTCAATGACAATCATTGCTGATTAAACCAAACTTATACAAAGGTAAAGTAAATTGAACCAGGTACAGGCATGCAAAGATAAGACAGATTATCTCACATGGCAACAAAGGAGAGGTGCCACAATGGAACAAACCAATGGTCCATCAGTTTCCAAATTGCTCCCTCTGGTTACAGCCAACACTTCAAAGAACAGAGAGAGTCAACACTGCCAGAAGTCATTATTTCCCACACCAAGAACAAGAGAAATCAGTTCATAACTTCAGTTTCTTCAGGCATATTTTAAGATGTTTATTTTAAAACTAAGAGGGTGAGAAGAACCTTTTCTGTTGAGCACCTAAACCTAAAATAATTCTTTTTAACATCTGACAGCTTCACTTACTCTGGACAGTCATTTCCAACTGTGGGACAGTACCCAAGAGTTTCAGCAGGCCACTATGAGGGCAGAGTTTCTTTTCCCACCTCTCCTCAAAGAGGCTGAAAACTCGATTTGTTCAGGCCGCAGAACATTTCACCTCTCACGGCTGCCCTCTCAAGGTGCACTGCTATGATAAGTGTGATAAGATGCCCTAGCCTGGAAGGTCACTGAGAACAGTGGCACTCAGTCATTCCGCTGCTCTGACAGCCAAGGCAGATTTGGTGGCCCTGGCAGGACATTGCCACCCACACAGCCAGGCCACAGGGCAAGCAAAGCCTGCAAAGTCTGAGTCTCCAAGCAACCACCAACTCTGTTTGCAGAAGCCATGCAGGTAGATCCTCAGACACCAAGAACAATTTACTTGCCCTGGTAAAATCAGATATATGTACACCATATGCTTCATCTACTTACATGAAATTTATTACAAAACCAAACCAAGTCAAGTAGTTGAACTAAGAGGTTCTATCATCTCCACAAGGTAAATTAAGGCAGGTTTTTTGAGTTAATTAATTAATGGTTGATTAGCCATTCTTTCTCCCCACAGAGACCATTTCCTCAGCCTTCAAAAACCAAGTACAAGTGAGGCACAATAATTCGTTCTCTATTCGGCTCACTTTGGTTTAAGCAAGTAAGAAAAAATCTTAGAAAAGACCTGTCTAGAATTAAATTAATTTAATCAGAGACTGGGGTGTCAAATTGCCCTGGAGACTGAAAATATCAACAAGAGAGAATGCACATTTTGCATAGTGGAAAACAGGTATTTCTGACACCTTATAAAAGAAATAATTCAGATGAAAACAGGTCATGGCCTGACCTGTGCAAGACAGCCAGATTCCATCCTTTAAGTCAAGGGTACACAAGGGCCTTACTCACCAGAACAAGCAGCAATCAAAATGATATGAAACAAACAAAACAACCTAGAATCAGTGGATTAAAGCTTGGTGTCCAACTTCCCTTTCCTAAACAATATAACACAAAACCGAGGAAAATCAATCCTGAGTATCAGTTCTTAGCTATTAGTATTCTACATAGCACTGACTAAGATTCCTGAGCAGGAAAAGGGTGTGACAGGCAATCAGTAGATGTAGCTCTTATCGCTTGATAAACAGTGTTTTAACAAGCAGCCAGAGATACAGGTCCAGAGTAAGCTACATGGGCTATTCCAGGAGTTGTTTCTAACTGTAATAATTACAGCACATAATTAAGAACACAGCCACACACTCCACACCACGCAGAAAACAGAAAATTTAGCCTCCAGTGGTTGCTCCCATCACTGGGCTAGATCTCTGCCAGGGCTCTCTACTCAGCTTAGGGCTTTATGCCCTGATTTAACACCACTCCCGTTTCCTCTCCTTCCCCTCTAAACATTTAGGACAGCAACAGAGACCTCCCAGGCAGCTGAAAGCCCCTGGAGTAGAGCAGCAGGCAGACTGCAGGGGGAGTCAAAAAGACAACAGGCACAATGAGTTCAGTTCCTTAAGCTCGTTTGGGCAGGAGAGACTAACACCAGGGTCCTTGCACTCCCCAAGGTAAAAGCAGGCTTAGCATTCTGTGAATGACTGTTTGCATGCCGACAATAGAACAATCAAGTACTTCCTCCAGCGGGAAAGGAGCACATGCACACCTCTGTGTGTGCCTGATGACTCCAAGCCCTTTCCAGCTCTGCACCTCATCCCTTGTATCCAGCTGCCTGCACAGAGCAGGTCCTGTGCCTCCTCCCGAGGAGACACTGGTGCCCAGCAGCTTCTCTGAATCAGACCAATCTGCCTCAGCAGTTCATTTTAGCAACAATTCATCTGCCAGTACTCAGCACGTGGATGGCAGGGATTGTACTCAGAGCATTCCTTGGTACAGCAGAAAGTTGCTTTGGGAGCTCAGAAAGAGCTGGAGAAGTATGGACCAAAGACCAGTACCTTACACCACGATTTAATGGGCACAAAAATCTTATGTACTATAAGAGAAGAAAAAAAAAAAAAAAGAAAAAAAAAAGCTGGGCTGAGAAGAGTAAAGCCTCAATTCCCTCTGCTGGTGGGAATCAGAGTTAGGTTGCTTAAATTGTACTTGCAGATCGCCTTGTGAGAAACATACAAGGGTGTCAGTACCCTCTTCTGTCTCTTCAGTACCCTAAGGAATTTAAACAATGCTTGGTAAGAGGCTTGAGAATATTTACTGCCGCTGTCATTCGTCATTGCATCAGAAGAGTTCTGGAAAGAAGGGAAATGCTGGGGCTAATGCTTACACCATGGGTGTGTGTTGAGGGGGAAACACGTAATGACTTACACAAATTACAGAATCTTAATTCTTGCGCAAACAGGATTAATCCACGCTGCAAATACTTGCAAAAAAAAAAAAATCAGTTAAAAGTCAGGCTAGAACTTTAAGTAGTGAAAGGACTAAAAGCTTGGTTTTTGTTTTTCAGAGTTTTCCTAGACTTGCTGTTAAAATTTAGAGAAGATTAGTTAAGATATTGAAACAGTGTGCTGCACCATCCAAACATAATTTGAGACACCTGGAAGGTCAGAAACCATACAAGATAGCTACCTAAAACCCTAAAATTCCTGTTTGAGGGGGTGGGGGGCTCCAATTCCCAAAACTGTTTTACATTGTTCAACGAGAGCTATTAGGCACTTCATCATTACAGTCATTACTCATTTTCTCATCTCATGGCATTATCATAAGGCCAAAGAGAACGGAGCCCACAATTATCTCAGCAGTTGTACCCAGTCATCTCCCAATTACATACACTCAGATGACAGCTGTTTCCCCTGCACTAAAATAAAGTTGGTACCACTTAACCTGTTGACCTAAACACTCCAGAATCCTCAAGTGTGGAACAGAAGCACAAAATCCTGCACTAACTTTAGATAACAGTTATTTAGAAATAGAACTTAAAATCAGAATACAGTAACAAAGTCATAAAAACTGACTTTGGTGTGATTTGTCTTAGGATTTTGACCACAAAACATCTTTAGCTATTAGAATAAGCATGTATACGTGTAATGGATATACACACACACACACATATATGTTTGTGCATGAATACAAAAAACACACACCACATTCCTACCTGACCTTCTCACCTACATTTAACACACGCCAAATGCCCAAGGGCCACACAAGCCTTCAGCAACACCTCGATGGAAAAGCTGATACCTCACAGAGACACCTGTTGGGATGCTCGTGCTGCACAGACCTGCTGGCTAGAGTTTGACACTGCACTCTACAGACAGTACTACAGAAAAAGCAACTTTCAACCTACCTGCGGCTCAGCAGCACCCTCCGACCACCACCTCCTCCCCATCCTAATGGACAGCACAAGGAGGTAGAGCCGGAGCAATAAAAGAGGCAAGGAAAACGAGCATCACCTGTTTCTCATCCTCCTCTGACAAGACTGCACCACTGATAATTGATAGCACCTGTTCAATAGCACCTGTTTCATTAGAAACTGCCGCTAAGCAGTGAGCATCGGCATCACACAGGTGTCACTGCTTGAAATCAGGAGCCATGCGTCAAAAAGCAATAAAGAATGGGTGACACTGCTACCTACTTCATTTCTACGATCAGTATGAACAAGGCTCCCTGGGTAACCTTCCGAAGAAAATTGCCTGAAACCAGCTCCTGCACTATCTATATACACCCAAGGGCTCCTGAACCGAGATACAGCATTTCTCTTAACTAAAAAGGCAAGCTTTCCCCTGGAGGGTGACTTTTGTTTTACTTCGCACCTGCGGGAAGAAAAAAAAAAAAAAAAAAAAAACCCCAAACAAAAAGACCAAAACCAGCCACAGCCCAAAGGACCGTATCTGCCCGATGTGTAAACGCGGAGCACCGGGCAGGTCTGAGAGGCTCGGTGCCCGGGGGGCCTCCGGGGAGGGGAGGGGGCCCGGCAGCCGCGGCCGCTCAGGGCACGGCCGGGCAGCGCTGCAGCGGCGGTAACGGGAGCGCGGAGCAGGTGCCCGGCGGCAGCGGGGCGCTACTCACACGGTGAAGTGGTACACGAAGCACTTCCATCCCGTGGGCCGCTCCAAGAAGTTGTAGACCCTGCCCTGGACGCTGCTGCGGCTGAGCAGGGGCTTGCGGAGGCTGTAGATGGAGACGCGGGGGTCCAGGCTGACGGGGGGCCGAGGGCAGTCGGCGCTCACCACCAGCACCTCGCTCCGCAGGCGCGGCGCCCGCTCCCGCTCCGGCGTGGGGCCGCATCCCGCGGGCGCCTGCGCGGCCGCCAGCGGGGCGTAGTGGGCGTTCGGGGCGCTCTCGGCCAGCTCCAGCGCCGCCAGCTTCTTGCCGGGCGTCATGCTGCCTCTCCTGGGCAGCGAGAGCCGGCCCAGGCTGCGGCCCTTGGGCTCGCCCGGCGGGGAGCTGGAGGACATGGCTGGGGCGGCGCGGCGGTGCCCCGGGAGCTGCGGGCAGCCACGGGCGCCCCGTCCCGCCGCCGACACCGCTGGCCCGGCCCCTCGGGGCGGCTCCGGCCGGGAAAGGTGCGGGAGGCGGGGGCGGGCCCGGCGCAGTCCCGGAGCCGCCCGGCGGGAGGCGCTGCCCGCGGCTGCCGCTCCCCTGCCCGGCCCCGGCCGGAGCATCCCCGGGCCGCGCTCCGAGTGCCGCTGTGCTCACTGCTGACCTTCGCCTGCAGCACCTGCGCCTGCCACCGCTATGGCTGCGTGCAGGCCGCCTCTCACCTGTGTGAGGAGCTGCCAGGGCAGAGGGCAGGGAACAGCCTTCCAGAAGCCCAGCAGACTTCCCTGCTTTCTCTGCCACTCCAGTGTTTCCCAGAGCTGTGGCAGTGGGTGGCTTGAGATGCTGGGGTACAACCCCTTACTTCAGATTTAGGACCTCCAAAGCCTTCTGCACCTGCCGCTCCACTCCTTTTTGCAGAATTTCACCTGGGAGCAGCGGAGCTCTGCCAGAGTTTGAATTCTCAAGGAGGCCCTTTTTAAAATGAGTAACAAGAACGATGAGCCAAAAAAAACGGGTCTTGCAGTCCTTTGTGTTATTTTAACCAAAGGGAGTGAATACCTGAAGAACTGGGGAAACAGTGGAACTCAGCAAACGCAGTCCTGCAGAACTGCATCCTCTACAAGTTGGGTCCCTCACCAGCATCGTTCTGGCTTTTGGGGAAATTGGCATATGTTTGGCCATCGAGACCAGGTCATTCTGAGGCCCTGGATAACTTTCCTGTGTGGTGGAGTTAGTTACGCCTCCCATAACTGTGGTGTGAATTGATTTGTCGTGACTTTGGTGCACCAATTAATTAACAATTCCTATTCCCAGGGTGAAGGGAAAGGTGCTCTTTGATCTGGACTGGTGGGTTTTTTCTTTCAGCTCAAAATAGAGCAGCACTAGTAAGAGCTATGTTGAGTTCATGGTTGATACTGGTACCCGGACAAGAATGTTACAGGGAGATAAGGTGCTAAATAAAGTTAAACGAAAACAACCCTGCTAATTGCAGCTCCATTCAAATGTCAGACTGCACAAATTGTAGGGGAGAATTGTAGGGGAACCAGGCAAGATCCTCCACCAGTGTAAACAAGAAAAACCAGTGGGCTCTTATTTACACCCCTGAGGGATCTGGCTCCATCTTAGGAATACAAAACCAGAAGTGTTAAAATGGGACTTTGAAAAACTTGTTTCTAAACCAAAAATGTCCTAACCAGGTTTTCCCCCCCTCCACCAGAGCATGAAGAACAAACCAGCTCAATAAAAACAGCATTTCAAAGGAAAAATTTCTTGCATCAAGTCAAAATAGAGCCTGATTCTTCTATTTTGAGCAACTGTTCTTCCTTGAAACAAGCCTGCAAGAAAAATGGCTAATGGAAGAAAGAATGTCACCACTACCCTTGAAGGCTCACTGTTTGAGGGCCAGCCTGATAAAGTCTTGATATTAAAGCTAACAAATGTGTTTCTTTATGTAAGTGTTCCGCTTTGTTTTATAGACCAACATAACATTGTCTGGGTTATACAGAGCCTTATCCTGGAGCCAGCTGCAAAATATAACACACAGAGTTCAGCCAAACGAGAGGCTGTATGTTCATACAAAAATGATGTTGTTCTTCATAAAACTTGTCAAAATCTTTAAAAAATATTGTGGCATAATGTCGCTACTTATCCACTGATTAACAAAATAGAGAATAGAATCTTCACTCTATCTGAACCTAGGAAAATGGAATTTCTGTATTACTTATGTAGTGTCCTTGCAAGAGAAAAGTTAGGGGGTACTATATACTTAAATGGCTGAACAGGGAGGAAAATTGGGAAGATCTAAATTTGATCTTCAGTGGTCAGTGAGAAACTGTTCCAAAGAAAACCAAAATTTGTTTCAATATTTTTTTTTACTTTAAAAGAAAAAAAATCTCAAATATATTCCACAGCCTAATATATTGAATTGTTTTTCAGGACAGAAATATTTTCCTAAGGTTTTACGTTGGAATTCCAATGCTGGCTAAATATTTCAAAGAATTGTCACAAATAAAGGAATGTTGAAGTATTTAAAATTAGGATTTAGGTAATATTTAAAGACCTTTTCCCAGAGTCAAGGAATTAATCAAAATCTACATTTTAAGTTTGTTGATGATAAATGATATCATTTGTTTTATGTAGCAAAAAATCATATTGTTAGATGATTGCCAGCTTGTTCAAGGTACTAAATGGTAAAACATGTCTGGCACAGGTGAAAGCAAGAGCATACTTAAATAGAAGTGTCAAATAAATGACTACTTAGTGATGAGAATCCAGGGTACAATTATCTTTAATGTATATTAAGTTGCTAAAATTGTATATTAATTTGTAACATTTTCAAGATGCATATTTTAACATAGTAATGGAAATTCCCTTTTTTCCCCTTCTTAAGTTGCCTTGTCTTGATCATCTTGATCTTAATCATGTTTATTTTACAAAACAACAGAATTATGTTAAGTGGAAGAAGAGAAAAAAAGTGAGTGTGGTGTATATATGAAAGAGTTAAAAATGGGAAGAAGAGGGAGATGAGTGTTCAAATATATTTATGGAGCTTGGTATCTAGGCTTTGATAGTGAAGAAGGTAGGAAGATATGTTGAATAAAGACGATGTGGGTTATAAATATTAAGGTGGAACTACTGTGTTGAATTGTTTCTTAGGATAATAATAATAATAATGTACTTTGAGTATTTACAGAACTGCAGTGAAATGAGTAACACCCAGTATATTTTAATTCAAGTTTGCAAGAACTGTTTTAAATCCTTATGTCTTGAGGAGGACTGTGATTCTAAACATGAGATATCACAAGTCACTATAGTATGATCATAATACAGTGCAACTGGTGGCAAAGCTCCCAGTTTTAGAATTTAATTGGAGCAAGACTAGTAAATTATTAGTTAAAGGCTTTTTTGATTAAAAATGCTTGTACCATCCTGGGCCTCTTTGTGTCATCCTGTACCAAGTTATGAGCAATATCTGCCTGCAGGGACAGATGTGCTCCTGACATGCTGCATTTTCACTTTGTGCCTGCCAGAGCACCATGCAGCATCACACTGCTCAATCACTGATGAATGTTTACAGGCAGGAATGGCTGCAGCCAGTTAGAGGCACCTTGATCTTTTGGCTGATTTCTTCCCTGTGGAAGCTAAGACTCAAACAGTTTGTGTCTGAATGTTCTCTGTCCTCTGAAAGCCTTTAGCACGTTGCAATTACACGTTTCACCACTTCTGGCATGGGAATCTTCTTGTTTGCTGTTAGATTACTTTGTGGGATGGTTTTGTTTGAATTACGTTTGGGGTTTTTTTAATGCCACTTCCATTTCTGCCCAGCTACAGTAGGAGACATGTTAAATATCAGCTTTCAAGGAAAGGAAAGAGAGAGTTGTGTTGTCTCAATTTTTGAACTCTTTTTCTTGGAGTAGAGTAAATATTTGGTTGTGTTCAGTTTCCTGGAGAATCCACATTTGGATTGAGTAGATCATTATAAAACACAGTAAATGGTGAAGGTAAATGTCACTTGAACTAATAAAGTTCTAGATTGTTTATATATTTTCATACAGAAAGGTATCAATTAAAAAATTAAAATTAAATTAAATTTAAAAATTCTGCTCACAGACTTGTCGTTACTTTAAAAACATTCCTATTAAAAGCTATAAAATAACTAAGTACTTAGACCTCAGACAAAAACAACAGTTTGAAACCACAACAATAACATGGTAGACAAATAAACCTCAGCCTTAAGATTCAAAACCAAAGCAAGGGAAAAGAGACACAAAGTTTTGCTTCACTTTCTAAATCCTGGGAAAACTATGGCTTAGTCAGTTCAGTAGGGAGATGGAGAGACATATGTAGGTTTTCATTCATTCATCAAATTTCAATTAAGAACAATTTTATGAGTACATGTAGACATTTTCCATTGGACACCTTGGTAATCTCATTTACCATTATTTTTAATTAATCTAAATCTATTAATATAGAACTTGTGTGCCTTTATGCAAATTAACTTCACGTTTTAAGTCTAAGCAAAATCTTTGCTACAGGCTCTTGAATAAATACATCCATGCTTCCTTCCCCTGTGTAAATCCAGCAGGTTTTCCCTGTTGGCAGGCATTGCTAGTCAAACAACTCAGCACACCAGCAGAAACTCCAGGTACAGGGAGTGTATTCAAAACTGCAGTATGTCCCAAAACACTGACCATCAACTTTTCATAAGTCAGAGATCACATTAATTAATCACTTCCTTTCATTAGTAGACTAATCACTGCCAAAAAGACACACTTCCAGCAGGTGTTTATGCAGTCTGCTTTCCTGACAGCCACTTTCAAACAGATGGAGCAGACAGAAAAGAGCAGATAGTATTCTACTCAGAAAGTTTGAAGTGTCCTTTAATTCCCTCCCTTCTTTACTGATGGGTTATTTTGAGCAGTGGATGCAGTCTGCTCAGGAATCTGGGCAGCAGAGAGGAGCAGCCCTGCAGGAGATAGCGAGTGGCATGCACCAGATATCTGGCATATGGAGGCCATGCAGCCCTGCTGACATCCCTGATTAGCATTATCTCTGTGAATGCTAGCTGAGTGCAGGGTTATGGCTACATTAATTTCATGTGTTTACATTGTTCCATGGGATTTTAAAGCATATTGGTGCTGTTCTGGGAAAGAATTTACTGTCCACCAATGCTCAGGTTTGAAGTCGTAAATCAAAGAAAGACTCTGAGAATATTTATTTAGGCTTATGCCTCACAAACACTTTCTGTTTTGTTTTCAAACACATTGGGAATTCTGAGCCATTGATCTCTACCCTCTGGATGCAGCTATCCAGACAATTCCTTATTCACCTCACCGACTAGCCATTGAATCAGTCTCCAATTTAGAGAGAGGATGTTGGGAGGGACCATGCCAAAGGCTCTACAGAAATCCAGATA